GCACCGGCTTAAAAACTAAAGAGTAAAACCAAATTAATTTTGGTTCTAAAATGTAAATATCTGTTGAGTTGAAAGTAAGTTACAGGGTGTCCCAAAAAACATGGGAATTCAGTGACGAATTCAATATCGTCTTTGCTATGAATTAGCATTGTAATACCTAATTTCAAAAGCCATAATATTATTATGTCTGCTAGAGTTTATTTTATGAAAAGGGTAAAAGACTTGTAAAGATGTGTCTATAATGTCTCTGCAAGATGAACAGTGAAGACTGACAAGTTTACTCTGTTTGTATACTGCAATTTTCTTGTTTTACTAAGTACAACCGTATGCAGTCAAAACAAAATGTAAACATAGCAGACGAAACTCTTACAGATTAAAGCTTTCTCAGTTGGTATCACTATACTAAATAAAAGAATTATTTAAAAAGACGATATCGAATTCGTCACTGAATTCCCATGTTTTTTGGGACACCCTGTAGATAAAGGCCAGCGCGCGTTGCAACTCTTAAAAGTCAGCCCAGTCTTGAGAAATAATGTAAATTGTCTCAGCAGCCTAGACACCTGGATCTGTATCTATGTGAACGATTTCTATGGGTATATCAAACATTTATAAATAATGGTTCTTTACATATTAAACGGTCTCCATTTTCTTTGTTGTTATGTGTCGAAACAATCTCACAAAATTCATTGTAAAACAGGAAATTTGTATCCAATAAACGTAAAACCGCTGGACCGATTAAGTTCAAAAGTACAAACAAACTCCGAAAATTTTGAAAATCCACGAAAAATGTTATTAAATCAAAAATTAAATTGAAAAATCCCTACAAGAACTGTCAGAGTTGGATCATTGTGTGCACAACTAAGTGTCACGTGATGCAAAGACGATTTTTAATCACTTAATAATCCTGTTAATTGGGACACCTGTGTCGTCTTCCAAATTCAACAAATTAGATCAGACAGGATTTTAATGAATGAGAAATCTTTATATTTTTAGTAGAAAATTAATTATATTCAATTTAGGTTTTAATGTTAAAGTAGCATGATTATTATTCAAATTTTAGAGCTTAAAGGGCACCATTTTATGACACTCTTTGACATTAATTTAAATTACATGAACAGTCCCTTTAAGGCCGTGTTCGATCGAGATGAAAACTGTTGAAATGATCACGTTTTTCTGTTTTACTGATAGATTTTGTTAATTAGGTCACGCAGTGTGCAGTATATTAAAGAACGGAGTTGTTGGAAAAATGAATTTTTGTATCGGGGCCTCAAATAAATACATTGCCTTGTATTTCATTAAAGGGATTGTATAAGTAAGTTCAAGTTACTCTTCATCTAAAGGTTGAATGTCCTATTATCCCTTACATTTCTATTCATTTTTTAAACAAAAATAATCTAGAAACCTAGATTGAAACTAATCACCTTTCTTTTTTAACAAAATAACGATATATCTCATTCGGACGTTTCTTTATGCTAAAGAGAGACCACTTAACAAATGACGCTTCTTTTATTTTCTTTTCCATATTATTATATTGTATTATTTTGGCATCAGTTTTTATTTTGTATTAAAAGATTTTCATAAAAGTAATTCTTCTGTAAATTGATTCACTTCATTGAATTTTGCTATAAGGGAGAGACCGGTAATTAGGGCTGGGCACGCTCCAACTTTATCAAGTCGTTTCGTTAACAATTGGTTCCTACCGTCTTTAAGAATAAAATCTTAGGTAGCCGTTTGTTTTTTAGGGTAAGAACAAAAATTAGTTTCGTTAAGGATATTTTCTGTTATTTCTTAAAGTTACCGTTAGTTAACGCTCTCAATTTTATTAACGGTGTTAACGGAACATTTTTCACTATTATTACACAATTTTCAGCGTTAAGAAAGACAAGCGCCGAAAAAAAATTTTAAGAATAAAATCACGTAATTATTTTCTTTTTTTTACAAGTTCAATGCAAATTTAAGCAGAACAAAAACAAAATTAACCGTTTAAAAAAATCCGTTTCATTTTTATTTTCAACCGTTATTTTTTTTTATAAACGTATATTTCCTGGATTTTTTAAAGAAAAGACGACATTCGAAGAATTTGAAGGAATCTACGATCAAAGGAATTGAGTCTTTGCCACAAACTCTGCTTTTCTAAACCCTATATTTTTGGATTCCAATGTTGTAAACCTTAGATATTTCAAACTATGAATTTTGTTAGATCAAACAATGTAAGCTTGAAATATCAAAAATTTGCGACATTGGGTTCCAAAGATATAGGGATTATAAATTCAGAGTTTGTGGCAAAGACTCAATTCCTTTGGAAAGAATAAGAAAATCAATTTAATGATGAAAAGGAAACAATTGATTTAGTTAATTATACTGAGAAATATGTTCCTTAACATCTTATTAGTTTACTGTAGAAATTTTTTTTTATATTTTTCTTTGTCGTTTTTGAATAATCTAAATAAAACCGATTCTCAAAATCATCCTTCCAAAATTTTCAATCAATGAGGATTTTAAATATTGAATTTGCGCCGTTGCTGAGTAAATATACACCGTAAAAACGTCTAATAGGTCTCAAATGAATCATAAAATAATCTCAGTAATACTGCAATCTCAGTTCAACAACCATACATTGCCGGCCACTCCCTTTAATTGAAACATTTATAAAACATATTATATTTTATTTTTATCTATTAATCAACATCAAAACACTACAAAAATAATTGTTAAATATTAAGAAAGACATTCAATATTAGTTCTTTAATTGAAACAAGTAAAAAGAATGTTAGATCAATGAAAATTTATTTATCACATATCAAATAATTTAAATAATGTACACAAGGCATATATTCTTTAAGAGATACAACATAAAACATAATCAATACAACATACAGTGGTACCCAGAAACCAGTGGGATAATTGTTGTCCTCTTAATCTATTCAAATAATTAAATAACTTCATGGATTTGTATATTATGACTGATTTGATTTCGATTTGAACAATTTAAAGTTTTAGTTATGTTCAGTTAAATTTAAAAGCAAAAGAAACAAATAAAACTGGAACTATTCAACAGGTTTCTAATTACCAATAAAGGATTCTCAAGCACTCATGGCCAGGTTAACAGATACAGGAAAATCTCCAATTACTTCAGGGTTAACTGACAGTAGCATTAACCTCCAAAGTACTCCAGGGTTAACTAATAGTAGTAAAGACCTCCAAAGTACTCCAGGGTTAAATAGCAGTAGTATAAACCTCCAAAGTACTTCAGTGTTAACTAATAGTAGTATAAACCTCCAAAGTACTCCAGGGTTAACTAACAGTAGTAAAGACCTCCAAAGTACTCCAGGGTTAACTAACACTAGTATGAACCTTCAAAGTACTCCATGGTTTATTAACAGTAGTATAAACCTCCAAAGTACTCCAGTGTTAACTAACAGTAGTATAAACCTCCAAATTACTCCAGGGTTAACTAACAGTAGTATAAACCTCCAAAGTACTCCAGGGTTAACTAACAGTAGTATGAACCTCCAAATTACTCCAGGGTTAACTAACAGTAGTATAAACCTCCAAAGTACTCCTGGGTTAACTAACAGTCGTAAAAACCTCTAAAGTACTCCAGGGTTGACTAACAGTAGCATTAACCTCCAAAGTACTCCAGGTTTAACCTACATGTATGTATGAACCTCCAAAGTACTCCAGGGTAAACTAACAGTAGTAAAAACCTCTAAAGTACTCCAGGGGTAACTAAAAGTAGTAAAAACCTCTAAAGTACTCCAGGTGTAACTAAAAGTAGTATAAACTTCAAAAGTACTCCAGGGGTTACTAAAAGTAGTATAAACCTTGAAATTACTCCAGGGTTAACTAACAGTAGCATAAACCTTCAAAGTACTCCAGGGTGAACTAACAGTAGTATAAACCTCCAAAGTACTCCAGTGTTAACAAACAGTAGTATAAACCTCCAAAGTACTCCAGGGTTAACTAACAGTAGTGTAAACCTTGAAAGTACTCCAGGGTTAACTAACAGTAGTATAAACCTCCAAAGTACTCCAGATTTAACTTACATGTATGTATGAACCTCCAAAGTACTCCAGGGTAAACTAACAGTAGTAAAAACCTCTAAAGTACTCCAGGGGTAACTAAAACTAGTAAAAACCTCTAAAGTACTCCAGGTGTAACTAAAAGTAGTATAAACTTCAAAAGTACTCCAGGGGTAAGTAAAAGTAGTATAAACCTTGAAAGTACTCCAGGGTTACCTAACAGTAGTATAAACCTCCAAAGTACTCCAGGGTTAAATAGCAGTAGTATAAACCTCCAAAGTACTTCAGTAGTAACTAATAGTAGTATAAACCTCCAAAGTACTCCAGGGTTAACTAACAGAAGTAAAGACCTCCAAAGTACTCCAGGGTTAACTAACACTAGCATAAACCTTCAAAGTACTCCATGGTTTATTAACAGTAGTATAAACCTTCAAAGTACTCCTGGGTTAACTAACAGTAGTAAAAACCTCTAAAGTACTCCAGGGTTAACTAACAGTAGTATAAACCTCCAAAGTACTCCAGGGTTAACTAACAGTAGTATAAACCTCTAAAGTACTCAAGGGTTAACTAACAGTAGTATAAACCTCCAAAGTACTCCAGTGCAATACAGGAGAATACCTTAAAAGGTTTATTATCAGGAGTATCTGCTACCTCCTGGAGTAGGTGAAGATGGATAAGATTGAAGAAGGAGCAGGGGGATAATACATAGTTCCACAACCACCTAATCGATAAAATAAATTAGTAAAGGAACTATAACCGTAATTTCAAGTGACCCTCCATGCAAAGATAAACTGGAGACATTTACTATTGAAAATTTAGAAATTTAATTGCTGGTACAATGTTTATTTTTAACATTCTATAGCAGCATTATTGTGGATTTTTTAAAAATACTATTGCGCATTTTGAACAAACTGATATGACTTAAACCATAACACTGCACTTCAAACAGAAATGTGCGCACGCAAAACTGAGAAGTATTTTGAAAAAAAACTCAATTCAAACTTACGCTAGAAAAAACTGCAATTTAAAAGTTGTCTAGATCTAGATGAAAAATTTGTATATGTATATGTATATGTATATGTTTATGTATATGTATATGTATTTGTATATGTATATGTATATATATATGTATTTGTATATTTATATGTGTATGATGTATACGTAATCTGCATCCCCCTGCTGCTATGGATTTGTTTCCTTGTTTTTGAACTTTTCCAAAATACATGTAGCCCGACCTTTACCCTGAACTTACCTGAGCTGGAAACTTAAGAATGAGATAACTTTTATCCAAAGAGAATAGAATATATATTAGAGGGGAATTTAATTAGCATATTTATGCTATATAACCTTTTGGGCCTTTAACATCATTTTCACTTTGAACTCCCTTTCAGGCTGAAAGGGACTGAAAAAATTCATACCGAGAGATTCGCTAAATTCCCCTCTAATATATATTCTATTCTCTATGCTTTTATCCCGACTTCTCAATCCGAAGATCTAATGTGGACACTTTTAATTTCTTGCTTAATCCAATCTTTTTTGAATGAAGTATAGAAAAATCAAAACCCGGTTTTTCAAAATCAGACAGTCATTCCCGTTTCTGTATAGTAATAATAATGGCGCCGCGCCAAATTTCAAATTTCCCGGCTTCATATACGAGACTCTGATTGGTTGAATTTTATACACTTTTCAGGATACAAGTAAAAGATTAGGTTAGTCTAGAGATTAAGAAAAAAGAGAGGATCAATCATTGATCTCGATATCCATGCCATTCTAAAGTTCCCAGCTCAGGGCAAGATGGGTTTGATTTCTTCAATCTTTAAACTTACAGAGTTTTCTTTTTTATGCTTTTCATCTACCAACAAGAAGCACGAGAAAAGTGAAAAATGTGTCATTAATTAGGATTTTAATTATTTTTCTCGATAAAGTCAACCCACTCAATTTAGAATCTTAAAACAAACCTAATAACATTTCCGTCCATGGCTTTACCGATTTCCCTAATAAAAATGTGAAAAAAATCGGTCCTTGGATTCCTGAGCTATAATCGGACAAACAAGCAAACAGAGTTTACAACTGTATAGTGTATATAAATAGATACCATGTACCTCCAGAATGTTCCGGAAATAAGGAATTCTACTTTGGATCCTGGAACCTTTTCTCGTGCAAGACCTAAACAAAGGAGTTGAGTCTTTGCCACATACGCTAATTTTTTTTCAATCCCTTTATCAATGCAACCCAATAGCGTAGATCTTAGAAATTTCGACCTATAAGTCCACTAGATCTAATAATTTAAGTGTAAAATATCTAAGGTTTACACCATCTTGTTGCTAAGATATAGGAATTAGAAAATTTGAGTTTGTGGCGAAGAATCAATTCCTTTACACTCGATGATATTTAAGAAAAAAGGTAAATATTTGAATTTCAACTACCCCCCCCCCCCCATCCTATTGCAAGAGTGAAGTCTTCAGTTTGTTCGTGTTTCACCATAGTATCAGTAGAAGTAAATATTTCCATTTAGTGATAGCGCCGATTGAAGGATTCTTATCTCTGATTGGATAATGTGATAGATAGAAGCATAGATGTTACCGCCATACTATTGGTTCAGAATAGACAACAAACACATGACTGAACCCTAATTGGATCAGGTGCTAATGAACTCGGCATACAGGAGTGGTTTAAGTCGTGTTTGGTCCATAATTTTCTTTCTGGGTCAAAGTTGACATTATGTGTTTTTAATTTTTTATTTTTTTATTCTGAACATTTTCTACTCCTGCACTATGTAGAGTGTTGACCTTGACAGAATAAAATATGCAAAAAAAACGATGCAAAACGATGTAACAACGATGTAAAAACGATGCAAAACGATGTAAAAACGATGTAAAAACGATGTAAAACGGTGTAAAAACAATGTAAAAACGATGCAAAACGATGTAAAAACGATGTAAAAACGATGTAAAAACGATGTAAAAACGATGAAAACGATGTAAAAACGATGTAAAAACGATGTAAAACGATGTAAAAACGATGTAAAAACGATGTAAAACGATTTAAAAACGATGTAAAAACGATGCAAAACGATGCAAAAACGATGTAAAAACGATGCAAAAACGATGTAAAAAACGATGCAACAACGATTCAATTACTAACGCTCGTATTTGGATAAATTAAAGATATTTTATAAAACCAAACTCTAAATTTGAAATTTTTGAAATTTTTTATTAAAATTTTAAAATATGTCTCTCACATATACTAAAAAAGTTTACATTGCATGAAATCTTAGATCTTTTTTAAACAAATCCCAACCCTACTCTCTAGCACTAGAATTATATCATTTTCTTCTCTGCCACTTGCATGAAATCTTATCGTATGGAATTATAAGAGAAATAAAAGAAAGTATTTTACCTGTAACGAAAATATCATCAACGAAATGAAAAGGTGTTTTACTGGCAGCAATGCCAATCTTTCTACACTCACAAAAAATATCAAATCTTAAATCAGAATTGAAATTAGAGCCGAAAACTTTTAAAGTGATAGAGGATTAGACCGATGAGGATTAAATAACTTTAACTCAATCCCTGTTTAAAAGTACCCATATTCGGTTCGATAAAAAACCTTCAGAATTTGCTTTTGAATTAATATTGTAATGTTTTGTTAGCTTCAAAAAAATCTTTTAATCTTTTGTGTGGATACTGTTAATCTTAAACGCTAGATATTGATATCAAGTGTGGACACTTGTAAATTTGAGGATTAACGCTTGATTTCTCCAGAAAAGGTAAAACCTGAGACTTGAAGAGGAATTAAATTAATCCTTAGATCTGCATGAAATAGAGATGTCGTCTTTTCAAGATTTAGTGATTTTTCAATAACCCTGAGGCAGAAGTCCAAAGGAGTTACGCGCATGCTCTCTCTCTCTCTATGTCTTGTAATTCAACGCTGCCTGCGCGGCACTCCTTGGGGCCTCAGGGTTATTGTGAACAAAAAACTCCTAAGCCTTAAAAAGACGACATCTAGTGTTATATCTGTGTTTTAATTAATCTATGTGTTGAAAACTCATAATCTCGATTTACCCAGCAGGCACTTATAATTTGAGGATCCATGCAAAATCTCTACATTTTAGTTATCCCTTCAGGGTACACTTACACTGCGGATATCGAAAAAAATATTAAATTGATCTGCAGTTTAACAAAAGATCAAGATAAAGCATTAATCTTGATATCCACAATACAAAAGCTCCCAGATCTGAGGGTATTGTAGAATTATTCAAAATTATAATTGTATTCTTTGCCTCGCTAATTTAACATCTAGCACATACAACCAACCGTTACAGTAGTCTGGGTATTTACTTCTAATTTAAGAAAAAGCGTCAAGGGTTCTTACCACAAAATTCAAATAGTATTACCCCTATATCTTCCCAACCTGATGGTGTAAACCTTTGATATTTCAAGCTTTGATTATTTGATCTTACGATATTCATAGTTTGAAATATCCAAGGTATATAACAAACGTAAACAAAAATCACTCGTCATATTTGGACATTATATGCAGTATTTGAGTAGGCCCCACTAGTGAATTATGAAGGGTTTCCCTACCGAAAGTCTGACCAATAGGAATGCTTCTATTAGATGTTTTATGTATATATATATCATCATATGGAGGGTTGATCATTCTTTCATGTACCGAAGACGACATGCCTGATCGTCTTTTTTGCGAATGTCGTCTTTGATGAGTAAAGACGACATTTATTCTACGGTTATGGTACCCCATTGTTCCCCTTCCCTCTACAGTTATTCCCCTGTCGGGTAGGGTTATCTTAAAGGGAGTGACTGGCTTGGTATTGTATAGTTAAACTGAATGAGAATGCAGTATTATTATTGACAAAATTATTATGATGCATTTGATGCCTCTATAAAACAATTTTAGGTTTTCTTTATGAACAGGTTGAGAAACTGAAATTAACTTATATCATCGAAAACAGGTGTCCCGTAAATTTCCTGCAATTTTGTTGCAAGCCAACATTAGAAGAAATTTGAAGAAATCTGCGAACACATTCATAAAGAATAAAGAATACAATATAAGGATTATAAAGAAGTAATTGATTCTACCATTGATTTCATCGTTGATTTTTATAAAAGATATATTCCGTAACAACAAATTAGTCTACCATACCTAGTCAGTCACTCCCTTTATAGTGCAAAACAAAATGACAAATTTCTTTAGTTTTTTCTTCCTTGGATATTCTGCTGTAGAAACTGACCATTTCTTGTTCAAAGAATCTTTTCTGCGTTCAGGCCTAAACATGTAAACAAGTAAACATATGAACATGTAAACAAGTAAACATATGAACATGTAAACAAGTAAACATATGAACATTTAAACAAGTAAACATATGGACATGTAAACAAGTAAACATATTAACATGTAAACAAGTAAACATATGAACATATAAACAAGTAAACATTTGAAAATGTAAACAAGTAAACATATGAACATGTAAACAAGTAAACATATGAACATGCAAACAAGTAAACATATGAACATGTAAACAAGTAAACATATGAATATGTAAGCAAGTAAACATATGAACATGTAAACAAGTAAACATATGAACATGCAAACAAGTAAACATATGTACATGTAAACAAGTAAACATATGGACATGTAAACAAGTAAACAAATGAACCGCAAACAAGTAAACATATGGACATGTAAACAAAGCTGTATGGGTCCCAGTTTAGTAAACTAATAGAAAAAGTATAAATAAATATATAATAAAGTAAAAGATAAAGCACTAAATATATGAAAAGTAATTGTAACTAATAATGGTGATCGTTATAAGGTTGTCCGTTTTTAAACATTCATGGATATTGAATCTTAGTCTCCACAAGAATCTGAGATGTGAAACCTATTTTTACATATTATGCTTGATTGTTAGTTTGCTTTATTAGATCCATTATGCCAAACATTATACAGAATAGTTTTGATAAATCATTTCGAAAAATGGTTAAGTAAAATATCTTTGGTTAGAGTAAAAATGTTGCATATTAATATAAAGCAAACATATAGAAAATCGAATTTCATTTTGCTGTGTAATAAACATCTACAAGAGCACATTTTAAGCAAAAACAAAAACCTTGGAAGTGTAACAACGGACCTTAAAGCGAAACCCATCCCTCAGATTGTCACCTGAAATTTCTGAAAACAGTGCAATGAATGATATTAGGATCCGGGATAGTATTTCTAGGATATTTTTCCTCAAGAATATTTACTAGCTTCCAGGTATCTATTTCCAAATCATCATCAATCTTCACTAAAATGTATTTATGATCAAGTATATCAATATGAACTATAATTAAAGATATATATTCCCGTATTAACATCAAGATCCACTGAATAATAATCATGATCAAGTATATTAATATGAACTATAATTACAGATATATATTCCCGTATTAACATCAAGATCCACTAAATAGTATTCATGATCAAGTATATTAATATCAACTAAATTGAAGGTATATATTCCCATATTAACATCAAGATCCACTTAATAGTATTCATGATCAAGTATATTAATATCAACTAAATTAAAGGTATACATTCCCGTATTAACATAAAGATCCACTAAATAATATTCATGATCAAGTATATTAATATCAACTAAATTAAAGGTATATATTCCCGTACATAAAGATCCACTAAATAATATTCATGATCAAGTATATTAATATCAACTAAATTAAAGGTATATATTCCCGTATTAACATCAAGATCCACTAAATAATATTCATGATCAAGTATATTAATATCTACTAAATTAAAGGTATATATTCCCGTATTAACATCAAGATCCACTAAATTAAAGGTATATATGCCCATATTAACATCAAGATCTACTAAATAATATTCATAATCAAGTATATTAATATCAACTAAATTTAAGATATATATTCCCATATTAACATCAAGATCCACTCAAAATTATTCAAGTATATCAATATTAACTAGTTCAAACGTATCTTGTTCAATTATACACTAATTATGATTACGATCAAATGATTGTGGATTAGGACTGTAAGACTTAGTGATGTCATTACACAGCCCAATATACACAAAACACAGCAAATTTGTTGTGTACACTGTTTATAAAACCTTTTCCTTTACAACAATATCAAATACTCATAAAATTGCAAAATGTCGTCTTCCTATTTTCCAGTCTGATGGATCTTACTGTACAAAATTTTACCTATATATCTAGGTGAGTAATTATCAGCGACCCAGAGAAATCCTGATATAGATTTATACGCTAGGTTCTGAATTATCATGTGATTCACTTGTTTCTGATTTCTTAAAGACATTGTTCTTGTAATTCCAAGTAAACCTTCATGTTGAGAGGGCCATGTTTGAATACAAATGGTATCTTTTAAATCATTGTCTTCCAATAAACATAAGAAATAAGTTACGGTTCCAATTCCTATGTTTACATGGTACACGTACCCGGCCTGTAGATATTCTCTTTTATTGCTGAAAAGGAATTGAGTCTTTGTCACAAACTCTGATTTGCTAATCCCTTTATATTTGCAACCCGAATTCGTAGACCTTTGATATCTCAAACTATTAATTCTGCGAGTAAAAAGGGTCTAGGTTTGAGATATCAATGGTTTACATCGTCAGGTTTCAAAGATATAGGGATTAGAAAATTTAAGTTTTTGGCAAAAACTAAATTCCTTTAGTCCATGGAAAGTTGAATTGTAATTGTACCCAGTGTGGATATCGTGATCAAACGATCGGGATGCTGAGTATCCGGCACAAAAAGTTACTTAAAAACCAACCCAACCTGCCTATAAACCAACCCAACCTGCCTATAAACCAACCCAACCTACCTAAAAACCAACCCAACCTGCCTTTAAACCAACCCAACCTGCCTTTAAACCAACCCAACCTGCCTTTAAACCAATAACCTGCCTATAAAACCAACCCAACCTGCCTATAAAACCAACCCAACCTGCCTATAAAACCAACCCAACCTGCCTATAAACCCAACCCAACCTGCCTATAAAACCAACCCAACCTGCCTATAAAACCAACCCAACCTGCCTATAAAACCAACCCAACCTGCCTATAAAAGTTAGAGATCTAAGAACTCTAGAACTCAGGAAAAGTATCTAGAAATTAACAAAAATTAAGATGTGAATCACCCTGTATCTGTCAGGAACTGAAACTTGAAGAATATCTCCATACTTTGAACTCTCCTCTTCCAAACCAGCCTGATATACAGATATACAGATATACAGATATACAGATATACAGATACAGATATACAGATATACAGATCACACCTCCCCGGAAGCGATTTTGACCTCGTGTTACGACCACCTCTAAAATTTTATAAGTTGAATGAAACACATGGGAATACAAATCTGTTTTTATCAAATTATTTCATCGGGCCCACTGGATTTTATGGTTAAAATAGCATTGTATCTAAATTAAGAAAATTTTGAGGAAGCCCAGGAATTAGAAAAAAAACTTCTTGAATCTATTTTTGTTTATATTGTGTTTTTGAAACCCCATTTTACAGTTTTGAAGGAAAAGAAGAAAAAAATTGATAAAAATTTATGCCTTGAGTTACCAATTAATGCTGGATTTTTGACTTAGTCCAGGATATTTCAGCACGATACCAGCTTATGTAAATATCAAGCTAATAACCCACTATACATTTCTGTTGGTTTCCATTTCACTGAATCAAAGAAATTGAGGGAAAAGATATTTTTTTCATCTACTCCTTATAAGATCAGAAATTCGAAATAATTAATTTTTTCCAATTCATACCAAACAATGTAGAAAAAATACAAGACAGAATTTTTTTTTTCGTGATTTTCTATTCCAAAACTGAATCTACATAGAAATTACCAAAGAACTTATGTTGAGAGTTGTATCCCTGTATCCCTGCTTCCCTGTATCCCTGTATCTCTGAATCCCTGTATCCGTGTATCCGTGTATCCCTGTATCCTTGTATCCTTGTATCTCTGTATCCCTGTATCCCTGTATCCCTGTATCCCTGTATCCCTGTATCCCTGCATCCCTGTATCCCTGTATACCTGTATTCCTGTATCCCTGTCTCTCTGTATATCTGTATCCCTGTATCCCTGTATCCTTGTATCCCTGTATCCCTGCTTCCCTGTATCCCTGTATCTCTGTATCCCTGTATCCCTGTATCCTGTATCCCTGTATCTCTGTATCTCTGTATCCCTGTATCCCTGTATCCCTGTATCCCTGTATCCCTGTATCCATGTATCCCTGTATCCCTGTATCCGTGTATCCCTGTATCCCTGTATCTCTGTATCCCTGTATCCCTGTATCCTGTATCCCTGTATCTCTGTATCTCTGTATCCCTGTATTTCTGTTGTATCCCTGTATCCTTGTATCCCTGTATCCGTGTATCCCTGTATCCCTGTATCCCTGTATCCCTGTATCTCTGTACCCTGTATCCTTGTATCCCTGTATCCCTGTATCCCTGTTGTATCCCTGTATCCTTGTATCCCTGTATCCCTGTATCTCTGTACCCTGTATCCCTGTATCCCTGTATCCCTGTATAAATAACTAAAAGTATCTGAAGGGATTGTCCTATTAATAACATATAATAATGCTTTATATATATATATACATCATTATATAAATATATAGCATGATGATATATACATATATATATATATATAGCATTATAATATATACATATATATACATATATATAGCATTATATAAATATTATATTGGCTAATATAATCAGAATGACATCTAATGGTTTGATTATTGCTTAATTGCATCTTTTTCTAGGGACTTGGGACAAATTTCCTCTAAGAAAATAGTACATGTACTGTACTTTTGTAGTTGGGTGCTGTACTGTACAATAAAGATAAGTACTGTACCTGTACAGTTAGGTTCTGTACTGTACAAAAATCGTGTACTTTACCTACAGTTTCTGTCCTGTAATGTACAATAAACATGTACTGTAGCTAAGTTGGATCCTGTTCTGATAAACATATTAACTGTACCTACACAGTTAAGTTGTATTGTACAATAAACATGTACTTCACCTGTAAAGTTGTATCTTTTACTTTACAGTAAACATGTGTACTGTACCTGTACAGTTGGGTCCTGTACTGTACCCAAGATAAAGACATGTTTGACTATTCCTCTGTACTCCGGAGTATTCTCCGGGTACCAGGATACACTCCTAGCTCTCCTTCTCTCCTCCCAGTGGGTTGGAGCTGATAGAACCAGGACCAGGAGATATATTTCATCCTTCTCCAGGTCAGGTTCAAGTAATATATCTTCATATCTATCTATACACCTAGATATAAACCAGGAGATATATTTCATCCTTCTCTAGTACAGGTTCAAGCAATATATTTTCATATCTATCTATACACCTAGATACAAGGAGATATGTTTCATCCTTCTCTAGTACAGGTTCAAGTAATATATCTTCATAATCTATCTATACACCTAGATATAAACCAGGAGATATATGTTGTGTAATTTATTTAATGGTTCTCAATAATTTGTTAAATGTTGTTGGAACGCGGTTTGTAAATTGAGAACAGTCCCTTAGCGAACTTTGTAAATTTAGAGCAATCCCATAAATAGCTTGATTAAATTCGTGATTTGGTTCTGAATAATAATATTCTCAATATTTTTTACATATTCTGTTTGTTTATTTACTGTTTGTTTACAACTTTAAACCAGTTTGCACTAAATTCTGTGCAGTATCCTTGGTCATCTGGTCTCACTACCAGGTTAGAACGATTGATCAAATTTTTCCACATAAAGTCAAATTGGTTAAAATTGTTAAAATATTTTAATTAATAATTTGGAATTCTTTCATTTTTTAGTTGGATTTAGTTTGTGAAATCGGCGGATCTGAGGTAGAATTTTATATTAAAGGCTCTATTTACGGCTTTATTTACAAGTGAAATCTTTTTAAACAGTGAAATAGTTATTAACCCATTGATGCCAAAAGCGTCGTTTTTTGATCTGTTCTAAAACTTTTAAATTTGGAAGATTTTCTTATTTCATTTAACTTTTTTCAATATTCTNTGCAATGGAAGATGTCAGTTTTCTAGCTTTCAATTTACTCTTATCTAATCAATACAATGGAAGATACAGTCAGTTTTCTAGTCTTCAAGGTATTTACTTTTATCTAATCAATACAATGGAAGATACAGTCAGTTTTCTAGCTTTCAATTTACTCTTATCTAATCAATACAATGGAAGATACAGTCAGTTTTCTAGTCTTCAAGGTATTTACTTTTATCTAATCAATACAATGGAAGATACAGTCAGTTTTCTAGCTTTCAATTTACTCTTATCTAATCAATACAATGGAAGATACAGTCAGTTTTCTAGTCTTCAAGGTATTTACTTTTATCTAATCAATACAATGGAAGATACTGTCAGTTTTCTTGCCTTTTCAATTGCTTCTGAAGCTCAATGGAGGGAGAAGCTTTTAAGAGATAGAGAGGCCATAAATTGAAAAAAAGAAATAAAAAAATCATTGTATTCTTGATCAGACATAGGTGTAAAGGGCACCGTTATGATTCTGGGCGGCATGACACTCCCTTTTCATCCGATTCCACAACTCGATAGGTACCACTGTACACAGTACACTGTACCTGAAAGTCTTGTTTGTCTGAAAAATTGTTTCATCAAAGTTGGAAAAATCAAACATTTCAACTGATTCTACTTTCTATCTCAACATTTTCAGTTTAATCGTAAAGTCAAATTATTAAAAAAAATAAGAAACCATTGATTTGATTGGAGTTAGTATTTATAAACGGTTAGAACCAGAAAACTTTGGAATAGGAAGACGACATAAAAGCAAAATTTAAGTGTATTTGATGTTATTAAAAAGAAAAACATGTAATTGTAAGTTATTATTTCACTTATAAAGAAGGTCTGTTTAAACTGCACAACTGCTGTGTCTAATGTTCATATGACTTGAGTCTAAAAGTCGTCTTCCTATTCCAGAGTTTTCTGGTTTTAATGCAAATTTTATGTATATCCATTTTCAGCAAAAAAATTAAACCGATGATCCNCCCACAGAGGTAATTTTTAAAGCACAAAAAAGTCGTCTCTCAACTCTCATGTTTTTTTTTGACACCCTGGCTGAACAAGCCCTTCTGGATCGTTGGTTCAAATTATTGAATCACCAATTCAAGGCTAAAGTTCAATGAGAATTTGAATCAGTCATTCAGGATTTGAACCAGTGGTATATGTAGTTCAGCAACCTCTCCAATTAATTCAATTTGGTCTCTGTAGAAGTTTTTAAGTTAATTGAAAATGGTTCCTCGTAGTTGAGAAATATATACATCTTCCATGATGAGAATATTGAGACAAGAAAAAGAAAAAGATATTTTTTTGAAATCATTTTCTTCTTTGTTCGGCACCATCTACAGTGATCCATCTTTTATCCAAATACATCCATTCTTTCTGAAAAATATTCAGAGCACAAGATTTATCTAAAAGTCGTCTTCTTTGTAAAGTTGGGTTTTCAATTTTTTCCCGAACCAATTTGGTTTCGTGAAGGCCTTACTTATATAATTCTGTAGCTGTTAAGAATGATAAATATTTGGAAATTCAGGTCGTGACATATTTTCTAATAAATATACCCCCCTAGATCTGCAGGGTTACCCCACGTGAATTTAACGGATCAGAAAGCTGTGACTATCTAACACAATTTGACCCATAATACATAATTTATTAGCCTTTTTTCTAAAATACTTTTTTGTCGGCATATACATTTTGAATGAAAAAGTATAGTATAAAAATATGCGTAAGTTTAAAGATTGTTGAATAATAGACGAAAACACGTATGTTTTCAAATAAAAGAAACCATATTCATCTCACTCTGGTTAGTCTAGGATGACCTACAGAGGATGAGACTTCAGAGATGACTGTACAGTGTACAGTGTACAGTGTACAGCGTACAGTGTACAGTGTACAGTGTACAGTGTACAGTGTACAGTGTGCAGTGTACAGTGTACAGTGTACAGTGTACAGTGTACAATGTACAGTGTACAGTGTACAGTGTACAGTGTACAGTGTACGTGTGCAGTGTACAGAGGATGCGACTTCAGATATGACTGTACAGAGGATAAGTCTTCAGACATTGCTGTGCAGTGTACGCAATTTCACGCATTCATTCTTATCCTTATGACTCCCTCCACTTATAAAATAATTTAATCATTGAATAAGCCATTGAAAAACTATATATTCCAGACAGAAGACTTGATGTAATCAAAATGTCCTGTCGTCTTTACAGTCACATCATTTTTGTGTATAACCCTGTAAGTGTGACATGCTGAACAGGTCTACGGTACAGTTATTCCGTACAGAACTGATCAGGAATATTCGTTAGCGTTAACTTTGTTTCAACATAGATGAAGTTAGATTTGTTCTTAAAAGGAGTGTTCGTGAAAAATGAAAGGGGTATAGGGTTACGGCGAAAAACTATTGATAGTGATCGCTACTAATCTTACTTCTATCTGTTGCGTATATAAGGAGAAAATTGTTAAAAAAAAAACTAACACCGAAGAACTTAGCGTCCATACAAATTCAGAAAGTTGCAACATTCGACTCGGATCGTAAACAAATCAATTTAATTCCAAACAAATCATTCAGATATTACAACCTATAATAAGCAATAATTTTTCGACTCAATCGTGTATAGTTGATATCTCATAATATTGTTTGTTTGCTTTATATACATTGCACTTAAAAGGTACCGTAAGGCCTTTAAGGAACCAAATTTATCCAGACAAAATCGGAAAAATATTCGATTAACAATTTTCAAATCTTAAACTGTGTAAAAGTGAGAAATTATTAAGGGATTAATTCTCTTAAAGTTCCTTAACTTTGCAGCATAAATCTACAACTCACGTTTGTAGAGAACAGCCAAGTTAATATATTTTTTAATATTTTTAAGTATATGCATTGTTGTTATTTCTCAATTAAAAATCCCCCAACTAAGACACTAAAAGGTAAAATTACAAATCGCATTTGTTGCACATGGTTAATCGCGATTGGTTGCTTAACATATTTGAAGGTGTTTTTTTTTGCAGTATGAAATTAATTATTAAACACACAATTTTGCACAAAAAAAACATTTAAAATTTCGGGCACATTGGGTTTAATTTTTCACCTTTTTTTCTACCAATTTTCGTAACTGATTAAGGTAAATGTAATGGCATCTTCTAGCAACCCTTTTTACAGTCAACAAGAATGGGTTCACACCCTTTGCTAATAGTAGATGTCAAAGTCTACTACAGACAACGAGTATGGGTTCACACCCTTTGCTAATGGTAGATGTCAAAGTCTACTACAGTCAACGAGTACGGGTTCACACCCTTTGCTAATGGTAGATGTCAAAGTCTACTACAGTCAACATGAATGGGCTCACACCCTTTGCTATTGGTGGATGTCAAAGTCTACTACAGTCAACAAGAATGGTTTCACACCCTTTGCTAATGGTAGATGTCAAAGTCTACTACAGTCAATAAGAATGGGTTTACACCCTTTGTTAATGGTGGATGTCAAAGTATACTCCACTCAACAAGAATGGGTTCACACCTTTTGCTAATGGTAGATATCAAAGTCTACTACTGTCAACAAGAATGGGTTCACACCCTCTGCTAATGGTGGATGTCAAAGTCTACTACAGTCAACGAGAATACATTGCTTTTCCCCCTTGGTTCATCCCTCCCCCTTGGTTCCACCTAACTGATCAAAACTATAACATCCCACAACTTGATATATCACTGTGTTAACTCGTCAGTGGCTGACAATGAACTAAAGATTTGAAGTTCAACAATGTCAAAATATCATTTTTTTAACATTAACTTTTGAAAGAATGATCTTAAACATTTAATTATTTGTATTTGTATTAACCATTCCTTTTCTAGTTCTAAGTAAAAAAGGTTTAAAGAATTACTAAAATTTGACACAATAACCTAGCATATTTTTGGCTCAAAACAGGTAATTTAAAGGTTTTTTTGCAGATCAATTAAAGCGTTTTCCTCTTCTGTATTTCATAAATATTCATCCTTACAATTTTTTTCCTACTTGAAAGAATTATATTATAAAGATATTATATATAATATCATTTTGCAGAATTAAAGTTTACATTTTATACATTTTATAAAGTTCTTAAGAAAATATTTGCATTTCACAATTCTTAAATCATGAAAAAAAGTTTCTTGCAATCTTACCATTAAATTTATAAGTTTAAACATACATAGTTCTAGAGAGGGTTTATGTTAAACCATAGAGTAAATATAGTTCTAGTAAACCATAGATTATATGTATATGGTTCTAGAGATGGTTTAAACTGGTCTGGATCTGTATGGTATTCCTTCAAACTGTCCTATATCTGTATTCTGTATGAAGTCCCTTTAAACTGGTCTGGAACTGTACAAAGTCCTTTCAAACTGCCCTATATCTGTATTAAGTCCTTTCAAACTGCTCTATATCTGTATTAAGGCCCTTCAGACTGCTTTATATCTGTATTAAGTCCCTTCAAACTGCTTTATATCTGTACTAGCCTTAGAGGGCGCTTCGTGCCCATCTTCTAACTTAATTGTGAACATGTTCTCTTTGTGTCCCACAAAAAATTTGGGCCCGATCGGTTCAGCCGTTTTGACGTTTATTGGATACAAACAAACAAACAGACAGACAAGCCAAATTTATATATCGATTAATTAAGTCACTTCAAACTGCTCTATATCTGTATTAAGTCCCATCAAACTGCCCTATATCTGTATTAAGTCCCTTCAAACTGCTTTATATCTGTATTAAGTCCCTTCAAACTGGTCTATATCTGTATTAAGTCCCTTCAAACTGCTCTGTATCTGTATACAGTCTCTTTAAACTGGTCTGGATCTGTATACTGTCTCTTTAAACTGGTCTGGATCTGTATAAAGTCTCTTTAAACTGGTCTGGATCTGTATAAAGTCTCTTTAAACTGGTCTGGATCTGTATAAGTCTCCTTAAACTGGTCTGGATCTGTATACAGTCTCTTTAAACTGGTCTGGATCTGTTTGATTTTCCTCGCATGACTGATCATAATCCCGATCCTTCACATCCTTAAACGCACGATGACAATTTTACAATTTTTCACAATTTTTTTTATGATTTCACCTTTCCAAATCATATGAAATTGGTCCGGGATGACAAGCGTTTTTTAAACATATAGTTTTTACTCCAACAATAATGTAGATATTATCTAAACCTATCTAATTATGTTTATTATTATTATTGTTTTTATTAGTATTAGTATTATTGTAATTATTATTATTATTATTATTTTCATTTTTAATATTTCTGATTATAAACTGATACACATATCAATCTAAAGTATACATGCTTTCACTCTTCTTTTTTAAGTGATATTGAGAAGAATAATATTGTTTTGTACCAGATAAACATGGTAATTGAGAAAGTCGTCTTTGATTTTTGATATTTAATGCAAGGTGAAGAAAGTAAAAAAAGAGGCCAAAGTACGTCTGATGAGCTTAAAGTGGTCTATTTTCTTGTATCTGAAAATTTTTGAAAATCTCAAGACCAGAGGTTCTCAATATTAGATGTTAAAACTGGAAAACTGCAATAATTGTGTTTATGAAAAATGCAGCATGGCTCGAAGACGATAAAAAAGTAGTCAATAAATTCCCATGTTTATTGGGACGCCCTGTACCAGAGGAGCTACGAGGCCACAAATTAGTAGCAGTAATGTCGCATAAAGTTGACGTTATCGTAAATAACGTTCAGGTTCTTTTGTTTCATGTTTTTGTATTGCTGGTTTTATTATTAGTATCATCATTACTAAATAAATCACCCATTTTTATTATCATTTTGAAATAATTCTATTGTTTTTATTGTTGTGCATTAATATCTACATTTAAAGGCAGAAAACATTTTTATCACTTTATTACTTTTTTATTACTTACATGAGGGGAGGACGGACAGACATTACAATTTTAAGTCCGAGCCACATTCTCCTCATTTTATCCTCCGAGCCACCTCGAAATCTTCGTTTTTCTAATATTATTTTTTTTAAGTGTCTGATCCTCCAAGATAAGCCTATTTTTTAAGAATCAGGCCACGTTAGGGCATAAATGAAATATTGAAATTTTTTAAATCGAAAAAAAATCAATTTAAATAAAGATTGCGAGTTTAATGTTCTTAAAAATAATCACTTTTCCTACACGCATTTTCAGATATTTCTTGTGTAGAATGCCGCACATAATTCCGAATTAATTATAGTGAAAACCATAGAATTTTCCCGGGTGGTTCCATGTGGAAAATGATAGGCAGAGGTGTGCCAAATATTTTGCTATCTATTTTATATCGCGAAGGTTAGCCAATATGGAGGCAAAAGCGATTGAAGTTTTACCTTATTAAAGTTTAACATCATTCTCATGGCTTTAAAGATTCCAACTTGATGTAATCATTGCAATACAATAGTCTATCCATATCTTATGCCCTAACGTGGACATATTTTCATAAAATATTTTTATCTTCAAGAATTACAACTTTAAAACAAATAGTAATCAAAGGACGAGGATTTCGAGGTGGCTCGGACGAGAAAATGAGTAGAATGTGGCTCGGACGAGAAATTGTTGTCGCTGTCCCTCCCATACTAGAAACAGAATTATACAAAGATAACATTTAAAAGAGAAAAGATTATAAGCGTAATTATTTTAAAGAGAATGTAAGCGTAACTTTAAGTGATCCTGTCAATAGAGCTATGTGCAGTACAAACTTGGACCGGAAAAATTGACCCGGCTCGGAAATTCATATGTACTAGGGCTGCCCGTGCTTTCAAAGCAAAGTTGACAATGCTCGATTCACAACGTTACTCTTGAAACCTTTATCTGATCAATAATATGGAGACTGTTCTTTTTTTCTAGGTTTAAAAGTGTTTAATTCTTATAATTCCGATGTGTTTTTCTGCAGTCCCGTTTTGCAGAGAATCCAGAATTGAAAATAATCAGTTTTCTAAATTTTAAACATGGATATCTAATTTACATTTAAACAGCGCTATAAATGGTACCGTTGTGAATCGGACATTGCCATATTTGCATGGAGGATCACTTGACATTGAGCTTACAGTCCCTTTAAGAACATGTGAGAAAGGCACGTTAAGGTCGTCTTGAAATACTTATTTTTCAACCAAAAACTTTAAAGATAAAAAAAAAATATTGCTTCATACTTTAATTTGGAACTTGACAGCTTCATAAAAGGTAAAAGCACGGAAGATATATCGGAAGAATCGGGAATGAAAAAACAACGTTTTTCAAATTTATATTATAGTTAGCCTTCAATCATGTACACTGTATTTCCAACATTCATTCAGAGCAAACTGCTTTGGTTTAAAGTATTATGATTTAAAAAAGACAGCTTAGTCTGCTTGTGGAATGATTTATCTGATTTATCTGTAAGCATAATTTAAAGGGAGTGTTAGCGCTAAATAAAAGAGGGGATAGAGGCTAACGGCGATAAATCATAGCACTTGAAGTGTACAAGTTACACATATAGTTACGGCAAATCACTTTTGCAATCAGAAATTATTTTGAAGAAGTTTTCACAGTTGCTTGGGAAATACAGTGTAGATGAAAACTAAAACTTTTGTCGATTTTGATGAGAATATTCTTGTTTTAGTAGATGTTTTCTAATTGACAATCAGAGAAGCAAACACCTGAAATATATTTTACATATAATTTATAAACCTTAATCGATTATTCAGAAAACTTTTTGGACTCTCAAATATACATAAAAAGGAAAATCGGATTGTAATTTTTTTTAAGTAACGCTCCATATAAAGCGTTTTACATCAACGATTTAACAACAAATGTTTACCCCTTAATAAACTAAAACACTGTTAACTTCAGTGATATGTACTCTGTACAGTTATTTGTACACTGTACAGTGATGTATACAATATAAAGTGATGTGTACACTGTACAGTAATGTGTGTGCTGTACAGTGATGTGCACACTGTACAGTGATGTATAAACTGTACAATGATGGATAAAATGTACAGTGATGTGTACAAGTGTACAGTGATGTGTACACTGTACACTGAATTGAATAATAAATTAATTAACTAAATACCTGTCCTCCTTCTAAATGATTTTTTCCAAAAGCTGTGCAAACATACAATCCTTTAACAATTTATTATTATCATTATTATTATTATTATTATTATTATTATTATTATTATTATTATTATTATTATTATTATTATTATTTTATTAAGATGATGACCTGCTTGGTTCCTTTGTACAGCTGGTATCTCTAACCTGCCCCTAGTTTGAGTACTACCCGGAGCTAGGTTTAGGTTCCCAGGCCTACTCCAGGATACCTGGAGGAAAATACAGATCTTAAACGGGGATAAAGCTCAAACCATTTTTAGAGATGTTTGTTACTTGATATTTAGAAGATAGTTTTTAAACATAACTCTTCTTTCTGGAGCACCCGCTAAGCTTTCAGTGACCGTAGATATAGTAGGGTTTAGTGGAGAGTGGAAGATTTATTCATAAATTTAAATCAAATAAAGTTGAAATCATACTTTGGGTGTATAACCTAAACTAATGTTGTAACGAAGTCACAAAGCCTTGATATTTAACACTTTATATTGTTCTAATTCGTCGGTCTAATGATGTAAAAAAATCCGCCAAATTTATTATCAAATATTAAACCAGTTTTGACCGGATAAATTGGACATTCTAGTCATCAGGACCATTATTGAGAGATTAAAAAACTAATAAATCATATTATTTAAAAAGCTAAAACATCCCATCTTTAATTTAATTTTCAGTGCATAACAAAAGCACAACTCAAAAACAGAACACATGGATGTTTTATATTTTTATTTTTATTACCTCAGCCCTGGAGAGTCCTTCATCCCTACATTGGAAGACGACATCCTCCCCCTCCCTTACTGTCAGTGTATCCGGGTACACCTTTACACTTACCTCCCTGTAATACAATGATCTGAGGCCGAATTATAAGAATTTGAGCCGCGTCTCCAATTGGAGTTTGTGGCAAAGACTTCATTCCATTACTGAAATATGACCTGAGATAATGAGAAGTTGAATCCATCTTTATTTTTCTATTTTCTTCAATATTTTCCCATGATTTCGTAGATCTTGGCTCAGATGGTGATACAGACGGTTTTGATTTAGGTTTCAAAGATGTCCTATATTCAGGTGTTAAAGATGGATTTTTGGTTGGTTCTGATGCTTCCACATTTTCTGGTTGATGAGAAGGTTCCCTAAAATTTAGAAACTGGAGTAGTCAGTAAACTTGTAAAGTAGGTTTTATGTCTTAAAATTGAATTGCGTTTTTGAGAATGTTTTTAAAATATCAGATTTCTTATTTTATTTTTTTTAAATTCTATATCATTGCAACCTGATCAAAAGCATTATTAATTTTTTGAGATGTCTCATGTCTACGGGATTTGATTGCGAAGATTAAAGAATTATAAAATTAGAGTATTACACTGTAAAGACTGTTAAACGACATGGCACAACAAACGAATCCGCCCTTTTAGGGAGATTCTAGTGATGTAAGTAATCATTTCTTTAGACTACTTTTGCATACTTAATAATTAGATAAAATAGTTTTTAGGAATATATAACTGAATTTTGCTTTTAGGGCACTTCGTGCTGAGCCTCTATTTCAATTGTGAACATGTTCTCTTTGTGTACATTGTAAAACAAACAAAAAAACAAAGAATTTCGCGGATTTTATAAAAAAATTCGTGGATTTTTTAAATTTTCAAAAAATCAAATTTTGATTGAGGCAAAGTTTTGAAAATTCGATCATCCATAAACGTTCTCTGGGGTCACGCGAGGTCCCTCAACAAATTTGGGCCTGATCAATTCAGCCGTTTTGACGTTTATTGGATACAAACAAACAGACACACACCCAAGCTAATTTGTATATAGATGTAGATTAGAAAATTAAAAATTTAAAGTTTTTTGTTTGAGACGGGTTTAATCAGTCCCATTACCAAAGGAGGTTCTGCGCAGGTCCAATACTGGAAGGTTTGGTTTGATCTGAGATGATAGATTGATAGTCTGGATAGCCGCCATCTTCTTCTAATCTATACTCTAAACCGGTTATATTCCTGCAAATTTTATTTTAACATTTAAAAAATGACAATGATACCCTTATAAGCTTGAGTTTGATCAAGTACGACAATATCTTGCACATCGTTGATCAGTAACCAGTGTGAATCGGGCATTGCTCGAATTCTAGCCATAATCTTAAAGTGTCTGTGTCCGATACAGGAATTGTTTGAACGGAAATTTAACTTAATATTTTTAAATATTTTAAAAGTAAATTTTTTTTTAAATGTCAGTATTCAGTGGTTAAAGTACATCTTTTCTTCAGAAAACAAAACCATATTTTTTCTTGATTTAAATGTTAAAATTCAACTTTGTGTTGATATTTTTTTAAAACTTACATTTGACAAAAGGTTTTTGCTTCGAAAATATTAAGACTAATCTGTGTTGCTAACAAGCCTATTGCTTACCTATCGTTATTAGATTCTATACTAGAAGTGTTTCTCTTCAATTCCTAAAAGAAAAAAGCTATGAAAAATACCGGTTATGACTGCTTATAACTATAGGACTGGCCAACTTGCTGTCAATGGTGATACTAAAACAAAATACTGTTGAACACTTAATCAGATTTTAATAGCTTCTAATAAAAGGATTTTAATTTTTCTCAAACAAATTTTTTTGTAAGATTAGGTTAGGCATTGCGTGAAACTTAAGTATATTGCACGCTAGATTTAAATCTTAATATTTTCAATCATATCTTATCTTACTGTAGAGAGTATGAGAGGATAAAAATGGGTTGAACTTCTATTATAAAGCCAGATAGATTTGCACTTCTCATACTGGTGCGCGCTACAAGGTCTCAAAGTTGTGTCATTGATGTAGCATAAATTTAATCATTTCTTTTTGTCTAGATTGCAGTGGTAGAAATATTAAAGTGTTTTGCGTTAAGGAAGGTCGGCAATGTTCCTTGGGTTATGTGAGTTGCCTTAAAGATGTTGAGCTTGATCGGTTTATGTTTATTGGTTAAAAAAATCAAAAAATCCAATATACCTGGTTTTGAAGTGAATGCCTGTGAGATGAAAAATCACAATTTTGTTCATCTGAATTATCCTCGCAATCCAATATACCTGGTTGTGGAGTGAATGTCTGTCCTGGAGAGATGAAAAATCACAATTTTGTTCATCTGAATTATCCTCACAATCCAATATACCTGGTTGTGGAGTGAATGCCTGTGCTTGTGAGATGAAAAATCACAATTTTGTTCATCTGAATTATCCTCACAATCCAATATACCTGGTTGTGGAGTGAATGCCTGTGCTTGTGAGATGAAAAATCACAATTTTGTTCATCTGAATTATCCTCACAATCCACTATGCCATCACAAACCTTCTGTCTGTCCACACACTCACCATTCCTAAACAAAAATGTTTTTTTTTTTAAATCCTTAAAATCAGTTGAAAAAGTAAGTTCTTAATTTTTGTTGTTAAGCATCAGTTTAACTCTTTATTAACTGATATGGTGTATTTTAAAACCCATAAAAATCTGTAACTGCTTATATATAAAGATATATAGGGTGAGTCCAAAATACACCTAGAAAAACAATAAATTTTAATTCTAATATCTTCTTTTCAGGGTACATGTGTAAGGTTTAATATAATCAAATGTAGTGAGCAAAAATATTTTTTGGTATATATAGATATAGAAAAATAAATCAATTAAACGTTTTATTTCTGAAAAATATTACTTTTCGCAGAATTCTATGCGAAACCTTCAAATTCTATTACATCCCAAAATGGCAAACTTAAACCATTAGAAAAATACAAAAAAGTTCAAATACTATATCACTTATGCAAATCCCCCCACAGACCATTACAAAATAATATTTGCCCCCCCCCCTAGCAAAAATTTTGTTGAGCCTATTAAATTATATTATTTACTTTCTTTAAAATCAACAAAATGAAGACGACATTTACTTTGTTCGCTCCAGTGCAAGGCGGTTAAATTGGTGGAGGAAAAACTGATGGACTCCAGCTCCTACCTGCAAGCAAACTCCTGTATTTTGAAACAATGGCAGTGTTTCATCTCGTCTGATCCATCCAAGCAATCTGGCACTCCGTCACACAAAGACGACTAAAAATAGTCGCAATATTTATCAATTCCACTCTATATAGTATTACGTATGCTTTAAAAACTTTTTAATATGCTTCTCAGGTTCTTGTGAAGCTTGCTGATGTTTAAAAACTCTAAAAATTTTAAAGAACTATTTCTCATAAAATTCTCTTAAAAAAAGGTTATTTTCAATAGTGGTTTCTTCGTAAAGTGAATCGCGCATATCTGTTCCCGAAACAATGGAGGAAATTCAACAATTTTTAAACAAGAAAACAGGATGATATCTTCCACATTTTTGATCAGATAAAAATTTTATGGTTACCATTAGGAATTGGGCATGCCTCTCACTAAATGGCAGATCACTTATGACTAAAAAGATGCCCATCTCTACCTGTGATGTTCAAAAAGGAAAAACTGATGTCCAACCCTACCTTTGGTAAATAAAAATAAAGAGATGTCCATCTCTGCTTTGGTAAACTAAAATTAAGAAAAATATGCCCATCTCTACCTGTGATGTACAAAAATTAAGGAAAATATGTCCATCTCTAGCTGTGATGTACAAAAATGAAGAAAAAGATCCCCATCTCTACCTGTGATATACAAAAATGAAGGAAAAGATGTTCATCTCTAATTGTGATGTACAAAAGTGAAGAAAAGATGCCCATCTCTACCTGTGATACACAAAAATGAAGAAAAATATGCCCATCTCTACCTTTGATGTACAAAAAAGAAGAAAAAGATGCCCATCTCTATCTGTGATATACAAAAATGAAGAAAAATATGCCCATCTCTACCTGTGATGTACAAAAATGAAGAAAAAGATGTCCAACCTTACCTGTGCTTTTCAAAAATAAATAAAAAAAGATGTCCATATCTACCTGTGATGTACAAAAGTAAAGAAAAAGATGCTCATCTCTACCTGTAGTTTACAAAAAAAATGATGCCCAACCCTACCTGTGGAATACATCCTCCGTCTTTACAGGTAAACTCGTTCAGATGACATTTAAACTCACAATTCTGCTCATCCTCACCCTAACATCAAAATTTTAAATAATTTTTGTTTCTCATTTTTTTTAAAAATTGCTATAGAACTTGAAATATGTAAACAAATTATCAGCAAGTTGAAATATTTTTGTAAAGTCATAAAAAATACTATCTTGAATTTTTACTTAAAATTTTGGTAAAACTTTTTTTTATGTCGGGATTGTTTCTGATGCAAGAAAATTGTTGATTCTAAGTGACTTTATCAATTTATTTTTCAATTATGATTATGACGTCATAGTTCCTGTCCTTCTAATATTCAAAATAATTTCGTCTCCCATAAAAAATTGAAAAAACAAACCTCATAATATCTTTGTCAATTTTGAAAATATGAACGAAAAACTGCAAAGAACACATTAGGAAAAAACTTAGATACTCCGATGGCATTTGTTTTTTACTGGAATACTTAATAGTATTGTATTAATAAAACAATATATCATTCTTATAAAAATTAGAAGCACTGGACACTAAAACCCCCAAGAGAGATTTAACGATAAACCCAAGAAAAATGGCACTCCTTTATTAAGCGTTAGTTTTAACATGGACCTCCATAAATAAGTTTAGATCACATATTAGGCGGGATTCAATTAAAACTGCTCCAAAAACAAGCCTTTTTATCATTCCCATGATTTATATGACTCCCTGAAATAAATCGAAAGATACAGGGTGTCCCACGAACATGACAGTTGAGGCATGGCTTAGAGGTCGTCTTTTACTTTTAAAATAATTTTCAGCAATCATTCTCCAATTGTCAGTCTACTATTACATAAATGATCCATGAAACAGTAATAGGCATTTCCAAATTGATGGTCTTATTTTTAAACGCTTTCAATATTACAGGTGATATCAAGAATTATCACAACTGGGAAATGAGGGAGTTTTCTGATTATGCTAAATTAGGTTGACGACAGAATTCTCAAAATTATTTCAAATACCAAAGACAATCATCAAGTCGTCTATCAACTGTCATGTTTCGCGAGACACCCTATATTGTTCCAACCTCCTGGCAGTCTGGAACTCCGTTGCATCGTTTCTCCATGTTTATACATTCTCCATTATAGCACTTGAACCGGTTTGGGAAACAAATATGTTTTCTAAACATTAAAAAATATCGTTTTCGTCCTATATATATTTATCAAAGGAATTGTCAAAGTAATTTATAGTAACTCTTATTTTACTATTTTTACATGTTTCAGTGCGGTTCTTGCCTTCATTTCAGGATCATTTCGTCGTTCCAAGTAAAAAGTAATAACTTTCTATTTATTTTTTGACAGAAAAAAAAATATAATTTTTTTTCTTAGACTTAGATTTAAAAAGACTGCGCAGTGCGCACAACAGATAAAACACAGTTCCTTAAAACAGCAAAGACTGTGCAGTGCGTACATCACATAATACAAAATACATCCTGTCTGCATAAGAAAATTTTTATCTTTAATTCAAAATCTATCCAAAAAAACTGTAACGGATTGAATATTTTGATTTTTTAGAATATATGTACAGCCAGCTAATTCGAAAAATCTTTATAAAATGGGTTAAAATGGGCTCTAAATTCAAGGATAATTTACACCTTAAATATGTATTGAATAACATTGTTAAATGGTAATTTTTTTAATGATGACCCTAAAATACACTCAATCGATTTTATTGGCCTAGGATCAAAAGGCTGTGGGACATGTCTTAAATATCGAAATTGTGAACTGTTTCTTTAAACCAAATATCAACATTGTGAACAGTTTCTTTACACCAAATATCACCTATAGGGACAGTTATGTTCGTCTGAGCCATCCAAGCAATCAATTTTCCGGTCACAGGCTTTCTTTTGCGGGATACAATTCCCGCTCCCGCACCTTAACATTTATATCAATTATACAACAATTCCCGCTCCCGCACCTTAACATTTATATCAATTATACAACAATTCCCACTCCCGCACCTTAACATTTATATCAATTATACAACAATTCCCGCTCCCACACCTTAACATTTATATCAATCATACCATAATTCCCACTCCCGCACCCTAACATTTACATCAACTATACAACAATTCCCGCTCCCGCATCTTGATATGTATATAAATTAAACAACAATTCCCACACCTTCATTTCTTTCAATTATACATCAGTTCCCACTCCCGCACCTTAACATTTATATAAATGGCTCCCACACCTTAGCATTTATATCATCTATACAGGGTTACCCAAAAAGCATGAGACTTCAGAGACGGCTCTCTGAAACTTCTTTAGTCTTTACTTGAACACTAAGCGTTCTCACAGCTTTAAACCTTTTGCTTTCCTTCCCAAATATTTAATGATTTAATTAATTTATTAATGACTGAAAACCAAAATTAACCTCCATATTGTCAGAAATAAAGAGAAATTTTGCCATTATAAAGTCCCATATTTTTTGGGTATCCCAGTAGTATCAGATATCTTTTTGAGTTAGGACATTATGACACTTTTCCTTGTGGATTCAAGTTTTGTAGACCTTTTTTCAAGTAACCTTCCATTTTAGAGAAATTTACGATCCACAACAGGATACATTTAGACTACCACAACATTACGTCCCCTAAAATTCATCCCTACTTAGTTAGATCTACATCAACGGGATGTTTAATGACGACATATCTCCACCTGAACTGATTGTGACGACATCCAGGGCATCCAGCTTCATCGCTCACATCGTTACAGTTTACTCGGCCATCACATCTCTAAACATATATTTTAGCTCTGATTTATACAATTCTAGGCTTCAAGTGCGCTTCGCACCCTCTTTTCTAATTACTATTTTTGCTATTAATCGGTGCTCTTCATGCTTTCACTTTTCTTTTTAAATCATATTTCGCAGATTTTTCTGTATAAATTGATGCATTTTCAAAAATAATAAATTAAGACATTTTTTCCAGGAAAATCTTTTTTTCTTATTTGATCGTCCATAAACCTTCCCTGGGGTCAAGAAAAGCCAATGTTCACAATAAACAAGTCTAACAACATTTGTCTATCTTACACTATAACAAATTGTGAGTTGTCATCCAGAATGAAAATATAGGCAAAAAGGAACTTAAACAAGCTATAAAGTTACTGAAACTTATGTTTTATGCTCATTTATCAGAAGTTTTTATAATGCAAGAACAAATAACTTTTACGCAAATAAAAATATATTAATTTAAAATAGAATTTTTCTATTGAGCGTCCCATATCATATTAGATTATCTCCAAGCTTTAACACACCAAAATGCCCACCTAATACTCGGAAAACCTGCAATACAATTTTTAGTTTAACCTGATACACATTTTTAAATGTTTTTTTCTGATTAATCTCTTCCTTAGGGCACTATACAGAGAATATCCTTAGCCTGTTTCGTACACTCTGGGAAAAGAGTTTAGCTTAATTCCATGTTTCCCAGTGACTTGTTCTCCGCATACAGAGACAGCGTGCGGAAGCCTAACATCTCAGTTTAGAGCTATAAACGATCTAATATGATGTGGGACACCCTGTATTAACCTGATGTTCTTTTATACAGTAACCATTATCACAGGAGAACCCTGTACAAGTACAGTTCCACTCATCAGAACCATCGGAACACTCAGGTATCCAGTTACACCGTACATCTGTACTCCTGTACATATATATTTAAAGTTACACCGTACATCTGTACTTATGTACATATATATTTAAAGTTACACCGTACATCTGTACTCCTTTACATATATATATATATATGTAAAGTTACACCATACATCTGTACTCCTATACATATATATATATATATATGTGAAGTTACACCGTACATCTTTATTCCTGTACAGTGTACATATATATGTGAATTTATACTGTACATCTTTACTACTCATGTACATATATATGTAAAGTTACAATGTATATCTATATTCCTGTACATAAATATGTAAAGTTACAGTGTACATCTGTACTCCTGTACATATATATTTGATGATGAATGATGAATGATGAATGATGAATGATGAACGACGAATGATGAATGATGAATGATGAATGATGAACGATGAATGATGAATGATGAATGATGAATGATGAATGATGAATAATGAATAATGAATGATGAATAATGAATAATGAATTATGAATTATGAATGATGAATGATGAATGATGAATGATGAATGATGAATGATGAAAGATGAATGATGAATGATCAATGATGAATGATCAATGATGAAAGATGAATGATCAAGATGAATGATCAATGATGAAAGATGAATGATGAATGATAAATGATGAATGATGAATGATGAATGATAAATGATGAATGATAAATGATGAATAATAAATGATGAATGATGAATGATGAAAGATGAATGATCAATGATCAATGATCAATGATGAAAGATGAATGATAAATGATGAATGATGAATGATGAATGATGAATGATGAATGATCAATGATGAAAGATGAATGATGAATGATAAATGATGAATGATAAATTATCAACAATGAATGACCAAAGTTGAAGGATGAAAATATTTTATACCTGTTAATACAAGACCCATCATTACAGCGATATTGACATTCCATCGAGAAATTTACCACACCACTATCAATAGCGATTTTTCATCATTTCTCAAAAATGATTTCAAAAAATTTATTTATCTAAAAAAAATAAAACTAAAAAAAATTATAATGCTAAAGATTCCTTAAAGATCTACAGATTTCCAAAGCAGAACTCAGAATATTGTTATTGTCCTAAAAAAAAGATTTAAACATAAATTGGGAAATTTCTTATAATTTAATGGACTGTAAGCGTAATTTAAAGTGACCCTCCATGCACAGACTACATTTTCTTCAAATTATGAACAACATTTTTTAACAAGTTCAAGATATTCGTTTTTTTAAATGCTTTTGTTAACTTAGATATTTCTCACAAAATGTTATTTTTGGGTTTCTTATCGCAGTTTGAAAAATAATCAAATATTTGAGTCGGAAAATGTGAAAATAAGAATGGGTTTAAATGTAGGTCAGTTGATACAATGTCGTCTTTATTATATTGATATAATTCCCTACCACCGTACTTGATCAATTGGGCACCGTTGTAAACCGGATAAATTGCTATCTTTGCATGGAGGGTTGCTTGAAATTATGCTTACAGCCCCTTTAAAATTAGATTTGCCACGCACCTGTTCTTTATTTCCATTTGCTTCTTCATCATCTGCTTCTTCATCTTCTTCCTCTTTCTGTTCTAATTTAGGATTGCAATTTTCTACAGAGGCCTCAACCTGCACCTAAAAAAAATACAGAGTGAATGTGATTTGTGGCGCATGATGCAAAATTGTACCTTTTTTGTGGCAACTCTCCTGAATGGAGTTTTGTCAATATTTTTTGAAAATTTGTATTTTTTTTTGGTACTTCAATGGCCCAAAAAAATCCGCGAACCTTTTTTTACTCTCAAAATCAAAATGTGTAAATAAATTGTTTCTTTCGAAATCTAAAATTTTATAAAGATTGAATCACAGAATCACAGAAAATTTGCAAAATTGTAAAAAGAAAATTCGCAATTTTTAGTTCTGGTCTAATTTTTACGGAAAAAATGTTTTTCAATGGTTCTTAAGGTTTCATCTGAACAGCGTATATTTAATACTTTAGAATATACTAAGAAGAAAGGAACTAGAGAATTTAAATAACTTTTAAATAGCTTACCCACAAGAAACTTTAAAATTTGAAAACTGTTGAAACAAGTGACACTCAGGGCTCGATTCTGCGCAATTCCGCGAATATTTATTTGCTTCTTTGTTCGCAATTATAGCGCAATTGCAAGCAATGAAAAACAGAAGCAACCATTGCGCGCAATTCTGCGCAAAGGAATTCTGATTGGAAACCCTAGTTTAAAGGGTACCGTTGTGAATTAAGATGTGTCACTTGAAAATACGTTCTCAATCTCTTTATAATCAAGATAGAAACTTGATGGAGGGGTGCAAAGCTCACTGAATTTACATACAGTTTAAGCCAGAACTTTTGAGACATCCAAAGAATTTATAAATGTCGTCATGACAATTTTTCAATGGGTCACTATTATAACTAAATCTCAAAAATTGTAAAAATAAATAAATAGCCATAGCGGGGTCAGTTTTAAAGAGCTCCATATAATCATTCAATTAAAAAAGTAAATATCTGCAGCGTTCCATTATCAGTAAGTTTAAGTTAAGAATACGATGTCTATAGTATATTTAAAATTGTCCTACCTGATATTCTAGCCCTGGCCTGAGCTGGCTTACTTCTATATATTTACCAGACTGTAAAGGGCTGCCTTTAACATATTTTAAATGTCTTTTCTCATCCCTAAGAAGGAAAAATTATTCCTAGGTTACAACTAACATACACTGTAAATTTCAATCATGAATAAATTACCAAAATCTGTTCACGAATAAAATTTTTTGTAAATAACGATCAATAATATTTTCTTTCATAGTGAAATTACAACAATTTTATGGAATGAAATATTTTAAAATATTGATATGTAAAATAGAGGAAAATTCAATAGGTTAGTAAAAAAATTTGAATATTTTTTATGAAATTCTGCTATTCAAAAATTTTAAGTTTTACTAAATTTTAAAATTAACAGTGTAACAAAGAATTAGTTATTAATTTTTATCATATTAGTCATATAGTTCAAGATGGTCCTTGGGTTGCACTTCAGCGATGGTATAGGTTTTTTTGCCGCCATCAGACTTTCTAATTTTTGTATTATAATTATCATATCAACAAATATAGGTAAATTTACAGAGTTTTTACTGGTCAAAAATACCTAATTGCCATTTATTAATAGATAACGTTGCATTCGGAGTTTTTCATGTATGGGTGGAATTGATTAATAAATTCGCTAATCCTGTATAGAGTTGGTAGCCTGATAATTGTAAGATTTGATATTTCAAACTACAACTATAATTGATCATAGTTTGAAATATTAAAAGTCTACGACATCTGGTTGCAAAGCTAAACGGATTATAAAATTATAAGTTGAGTTGTTGTATTTTATGTTGCCGTAATGAAGAAAATGAAAAAAATACTAAAATTCAATCTAAAAACGTTTACCTGGTACAGTTAGGACAAGTCCAAACCGTTTTAAATGACGTGAATCCTAAAAGAAAACAATTTAACCCACCATTACGCTTAGTTTTAAATAATTCAATCTTTTTAAGTTTGCTAAAAAAAATGTTTTTAGTCTAAACATATACCGGGCGGAATTCTATTATATTCTATTATTCTATTATAATTCTATTATATTCTATTATTCTATTATATTCTATTGTATTCTATTATATTCTATTATATTCTATTATATTCTATTCTATTAATTGTATGAACGAAAAAAATCCCAAACAAAAAGAAAATCGTTGATACGGATACTCAAAATACTATCGGCAGTTTCTTCAATAGTTATAAAATACTAACCCAGCTTTTCCTGCAAACCAAACTTTCTTAGCTTAAGTCAACCCACTTAATTAAGAATTTTTAAACCAAGCTAAGCACATGCCCGCGGTTCTACCGAGTTTCCAAATCAAAATTTAAGGCAAATCGGTCCAGGGGTTCACGAGTAATGATCGGACATACAAACAAGGAAACAGAGATTACTACTTTATATATATATATTATAGATATATAATAAGGTGTACCTGTATGAGGACAAGGGTATGCAATCTCTACCATGGCTCCTCCCTGCACCGTTTCCTAAACAAAACATGCGTTAAAGGGATTTTGATAGTTTTCAGATATTACAGCTGCTTTTTATGGGCTCAACAAGAACCTGACATGTCCTCGCACCTCTAACCCTTTAGTAAAAGTAAATTCAAACTAAAGTCTGACCACGTCAAACCCAGGGTTTGAAGTAAAATTCCCGGGTTTGGAGTAAAATTTAAGGATTGGAAATAAAAATAATCAATAAAATTTATTTTACGACAAAAAATATTTAAAACCTTTATACGAAGTATTTGTGGGATGTGGGGTTGAGTTGCAACTGAATCCACAGTAATCGGAGGACTTGGTGAACCAAACATTTCAGATCTAGTTAAAGCAGACACACTCAACTCATATCTGGTACCTAAACAATACATGTATCCTGTATCCTGTATCCTGTATCCTGTATCCTGTATCCTGTATCCTGTATCCTGTATCCTGTATCTTGTATCCTGTATCCTGTATCCTGTATCCTGTATCCTGTGTCCTGTATCCTGTATCCTGTATCCTGTATCCTGTACCCTGTACCCTGTATCCTGCCAAAGTGAATAAATACTAAAGTGGAACAGACTAAGGCAACGACGACAGGTTGGGCCATAAGGTTTTATTTGGTTTGGAAATAATTTCATGAAAATATTTCGTTTGGAAAGTAAAGACTAGAAAAAAAGACTAGAGACCCATGTAAAATGTCGTCTTCAGATAGAACTTCGAAATTTTCACGATTTAAAATATAAAAAATTTGTACGTTTCTATGTAGTTTATATGTAAATACTATTAATACAGAGGCGTATTCAGGGGGGGGGGCTATTGGGGTTCATCCCCCTCCTGGATCAGTGAAATATATGCCTTTTTTTTGGGGAGGAGGGGGGGGGGTCGGCCTTCCCCCTCCCAAAAAGAAATGTAAGCCCTTACTTGGAAAAAAAAACCTTAATATCTTTAAAACTATGTCTAGTTCTCAACCACTCTTAAATCTGTCAAAATACAAAAGTGAAGACCAGGAGATATATTTCGAAGATCTTCATTTTTCGGACTTATAGTGAAAAATATTCTTTTCGGGGAGTTTTGGCCTCCCCTCCCCCCTAAAAAGACGAAGAATTGTAAGCCCTTCCTGGGGAAAAAAACCTGAATACGCCTCTCTTAATATCTTTAAAACTATGTCTAGTTCTCAACGACTGCTCTCTTATATCTTTAAAACTATGTCTAGTTCTTGTATCTTGTATCTTGTATCTTGTATCTTGTATCTTGTATCTTGTATCTTGTATGATGTATCTTGTATCCTGTATCCTGTATCCTGTATAATGTTTAATGTATACTGTATCCTGAATCCTGAATCCTGTATCCTGTATCCTGTATCCTGTATCCTGTATCCTGTGTTTTGTGTCCTGTTTAATAACAAGGATTTGCAAACGAATATCAAAATTAGAAACTGCAACCTAATGTTTTATACATTCAGATTTCATGGTATTAAATAAACAAAATAGTTGGAATTTAGTCTCAAGGCCATTACTAGAGGTTATTATTTTTTCAAGAAATTTACTTGTAAAATTAGGACGACGAGCGAATGCCGCAATTTATTTCAAAACTAAAAGTCGTTTCTCAGTCTCAACTGTCATGTTTTGTCATGCACCCTTTATATCTAACTCAGCCAATAAGGAAAACCAGTGTTTGGCAATTGGCGATTATTATGAAAATTGTCAATCCAGATTAAATGTCTTTGGCAATGTTTGACAAGCGAGGGAGGGAAACCCCTGCCGCCACGAGCCTCCCGGATTGTAGATTATATATTTTATAACAAAACTTCAAAAGTTTCATACGCAAAAATGAAGAAATTAAGAGAACAAATTTTGAAGTGAATTTGATAAGATTTGTTATAAACTTTTATCCTAACGATGAAAAATATTTAGATTAAATATTTACTGTAAAGTGGACACTAGAGGCCGAATATACAGGGTATCTCACGAAACATGACAGTAGCAAGAAAAATTGGAAGTCGTCTTTGAACTTTGAATTTATCTGTGACTTCGTCAAGCTACTTTCAAATGTATTTTGTGATTATCGACTCTAGAATTTTAGGTTTAAGATAAGGTTTACAAATAAATTCCGCAAATTATTTAAAATATCAACGACGACCTTTACTTTGTCTCTCATGTTTCGTGGGATACCCTGTATGAAATGATGATGTCATACTGGAGGGTATCATACATATAACCCTCCAGGTATTCATGGAGGGTATGTACGATACCCGCCATGAATACCTGGAACAGTTGATGTACAGGGTGTCCCAAAAAACATGGAAATTCAGTGACGATTGGATATCGTCTTTGTTATGAGTTAGCATTGTACTACCTTATTTCAAAAGCCATGACATTATTATGTCGGCTAGAGTTTATTTTATGAAAAGGGTAAAAGACTGTAAAGATGTGTCTATAATGTCTCCGCAAGATGAACAGTGAAGACGGACAAGTTTACTCTGTTTCAGAACACAGAGAGGGAACGAGATTGAGGAAGAAGCCAGTTGTGCGCCAGCTCTCACAAGGAGAGGATGAAGATATTCGCCAACTCCCCACAGTGGTAAGAAGCAGTCAGTCCAAAAGAGTAGAAACTGCTTGGACGGATTGGAGCTGTGGGAAAGCAACATGCTGAAGGAGATTTGATACCAGAACAAAGATGGTGCCAGAAGAGATATGTTGCCTGAGGGGATAATTGGCCTGAGGAGATATGTTGCCTGAGGAGATACGCAGCCCTGAGGAGATACCATGTTGAAGGTATCTAGCCAAGGAGTATACAGCCAAGGAGTATCCGGCCATAGGAGTAACCCATCACTGAGTGCCAAATCTGTGTCTCTTGACTTTAGTTATTTATTCCTTCATTTTGTTTCTTTTTAATATAGATGTTCAACTACTTTGTTCTATTATTGGTGTGTGACTTTAAGACTACTAGAGTATTGTTACCCGCCTTTGGGGGTATCCTTTCAAATATAACAGTATACAGCAATTTGCTTGTTTTACTAAGTACAACCGTATGCAGTCAAAACATAAACAAACAAAATGTAAACATAGCAGATGAAACTCTAACCGATTACAGCTTTCTCAGTAGGTATCACTATACTAAATCAAAGTATTATTTAAAAATACGATATCGAATTCGTCACTGAATTCCCATGTTCTTTGGGACACCCTGTACAATAAGTTGGTTTGTTTATGCGAGTTTCACATTTTTAAAAGGCTCCAAAAAAATCTGATAGGTTTTACACAGGATATTAGTGATTGCCATAAACTCAAATTTTCTAATCCATATGTCTTTGATACCTGATTGCGTAAGCTTTTGATTACAAATATGGTCTAAAAGAATTTCTAGTTTGAGTTATAAAAGGTCCATAACATTGGGTTGCAAAGATATAGGGATTAGAAAATCAGGCAAAAACTCAATTAACTTCAAAGTTATTTATTCTAAACATTTACTTTCTTCTACTTTGCCAAATTTTGCCACTAAGAGCAATCCAAACCAAAAATGAACCTGTTTAAACATTCATTTGTAGGTTCGTTTCTTATCTTTGAATAAAAACGTTGCAACAATTAATTTTACCCTCAAAAACAGTTTTTAAATATTGGAAGTTTAATTAAAAGTTTTTAAACCGAAGCAAAACGAGTAATAATACCTGGGACCACTTGTACATCAAATGAAGTAATGTTTCCAATAAGGATTTCTTCATGATTATCACATTTATCTTCACTGACAATCATCTCAGAGCAATCTAAACCAAATATGAATGACGTAGTCAATCGTTTCTGTTTTTCTGTTTTGATGGATGTCCGATCATAACTTATTTGCCTCCAATTTTGATTGGAAATTGGGAGAACCACGGGAATGTCCTTATAGCTCGGTTAAAAAAAATCTAAGTTGAGTGGGTCGACTTTTAAATGGAAAATTCTAGACAAAGCCGGGTTTCCGAGTTAGTATAAAAATATATAAAGTAGTAATCTCTGTTTGTCTGTTTGTCATAATTCAGGAACACTTTGTCTAATTTGTCTAAAATTTTGAATGTGCATGGACAAATCGGTAGAACCCAGGAAATGTCCTTAATGGTTTAAAAATTGACTGGGTCGACTTTTATAGGGAAAATTCCCAGCAAAGCTGGGTTTCCGGGTTAATATTAATATAAAGTAGTAATCTCTGCGTGTATGGATTTATGCATGTTGACTGACTTTCCTAGGATTTTTCTGGGGGAACTTGGTTAAACCAGGGAAATGGTTTAAAAAAGTGTAGTTGAGTGCTGATTTTTTATAATAACAAAAGTTCCGACAAAACTGGGTACCCAAGCTAGTATAGATATAAAGTAGTAATCTCTATTTGTGTATGGTTGTCTGTATATCCGATCTTATATAAACTTCTTGACCGTTTGAAATTTTGATTCAGCATTTCAGTAAGTTGAGTGGGTTGACGTTTATCAGAAAAACTCCAGGCAACGCTTAATAACTTAGTATACATATAATGTATTAATCTCTGTTTGGATGTTTGTCTGATCGTATGATCTTAATTTATAACTCATGCACGCACCTCTGCCCCTTTAGTAAAAGTAAATTCAGCCTATATGAAGCATAAAGTCTGATCGCGTCAACCTTGTTGCACCGGCTAGTCCAGTCCATAGAGCTATGTACAGTACAAACTGGGTCCGGAAAGGTTGACCCGGCTCGGATGAACCCCTTGACTGATTATTATTGGATAACTTGGTTAAAAAATTTAAGATAAAGATTAGTTGCCCAAGTTGGTTTAAAACATATCACCAATCTTATTTTATTAATGATATTTAAAAAATGTTTTTGTTGTTGAAAATAAGAAAATAGAAACCTGTTCTGTTGAAGTTTTCACATTTAGATCTGATTACAATCTGAAGAAAAATTTAGGATGAGTTCCATAAATGCTGCCTGGCTAAGATGTAGTACTAGACATCTTCGTTTATTTTATTCATTTTTTTTTGGGGGGGGGTGGTTGCTATATGGTACATATAGATTTAGCTTTTCTCTTGGTTTTTTTTTTTTGGGGGGGGGGTTGCTATATGGTACATATAGATTTAGCTTTTCTCTTGGTTTTTTTTTTTTGGGGGGGGGGTTGCTATATGGTACATATAGATTTAGCTTTTCTCTTGGTTTTTGTCCAATACGTCGAAATGGCTTGACCGATGAAGCCCTTGTTTTGTAGTCACATGACATGCTTTGAAATGATTTTGATTTTTAAAAACTTTATATGGACATCCGTCTACAGGTAAACAGGTAAACAGGAAAATCCACAAAATTTGCAGTTGTCAATATTTAAAAATGTAAGATTGGCTAGCAGATACAACAAAATTCTGAAAATATCAAAAAGATAAGGACGAAGTACCCTACCTTGTAGTTTTGTATTAGACCCATGGGTTGTTCCGGCGGACTCCAGTCTAGTTGAATACTTCGACTACTTTTACTCGGAACCTTAAAGGAATCAAAGGACTGTAAGAATACATGTAAGAGACCCTGCATGCAAAAATAACAATGCCCTTAAAACCTTTATCTGATCAAGCGTGAGGATGATATTGTCGTTTTTCTAGGTTTATAAGTATTTAACTCCAAAAACTCTTATATACACTAGTCACTTTTGTAGAGAAACCACAAATGAAAATAATCAGCATTGATATCTTATTCTTCTTGTTTAGACAAATCTTTAAAGGGTACCGTTGTCAACAGGTCAAATGGTTATCTTTGCATGGAGGGGGGGGGGGGTCACTTAAAGTAGTTCGCTCAATGCATTCCTACATTAAAAGATTTACAACAGCAGATTCCTCCCAAGGAGTATGGAATATAAGTGAGATACAACTGACGCGGCCTGCCCTACAATATGATTATACATGTTTTGCAGACGATACTTCATTTGTATAAGAAATATTTTTCTGATGTATAATTACCGCGTATACAATACCTATCCTGAGCTGAAAACTTTAGAATGGTGGATATCGGGATTATTGCTTAATCCACTCTTTTTCTTAATCTCGAGATTAAATATTGCTTGTTCTCCTCTCATTTTTAATCTTCAGATTAATTATCAGAGCAAGATTAAGGATATCACATTCTAAAGTTTTCAGCTCTGAATATTTCTTATACAAATGGAGTACCGTCTGCAAAGCATGTATAATCATATGGTAGGGTGAATCGCGTCAGTTGTATATCCCTTCTTTTTAATTCTCCTTGATTCCCCCTGTGTAAACCAATGTCCGGGTAAATATGTTTTTTTTAAATCTAAAAATTAATAATTTTTTGTTTCCCCTTAAAAGTGAATAGCAGTTTCATGCTACAGATAGAAGAGAGTAAATAAAAAAAAGAAATCTCTTTTCAAGATTGTACAAGATGATATCCGTGGTTACTCAGATACAGGTTTAAGAATCACATTAAATATTTTTTTAACATTTTTCTTATTTTCTTGTTTTCTTACAACTATTTGCTTACCCTTAAATTCACCGGCTTTGATGCAATCCCATCCTATAAATTAAATAAGGCAATTAAATCCCATCCTATAAATTAAATAAGGCAATTAAATCCATATCAAGACATATCAGCAGAAAATCAAAGGAATTGAGTCTTTGCGTCAAACTCTGATTTTCTAATCCCTATTTCTTTGAACCCAAAATCATTGACCTAAGATATTTCATACCATAAACTATGTTGGATTAAAAATAATCTAAGTTTGAAATATCAAAGATCATACACCATGAGGTTTGAAGGATATATGGATTTGAGTTTGTTGCAAAGACTCAATTCTGTTATGCAACAAATGCTTTTCAACAAGAGGAATTATAATTGAAAATTGTTAGATTTCAATTTACTTTAATTCAAGGTTGTAAAGTAAGGTTGCTTACTCTCGATGGGCTCCAATGTTCGGGAAATTTTGTCTCCAAATTAATACATAGTTACAATCGGTAAATGACGCCACAGTGTGGTTATGGAGACGGTTTGAGTATACAAAATAAGATCGGCCCAAACAGGCCTAAAAACCGTCCCATACTGCCACATGAATTTGTAAAAATTTGGCATACTGTAAGAAATACAAATGTACTCTTTGGCCGTCATAATTATCCTTCACATGTATATCTAAACATTTATCTACAATTATCCTTCACATGTATATCTAAACATTTATCTATAATCATCCTTTACATGTATATCTAAACATTTAGCTTAAACTTTAAATGTTTAAAAGTCTAGTTTTGGTAATTTATACAAGAATTCCATCTAACTTGAGTGATGTTTAAGTGCAAGGTACAGTGATTCGCAAAATATGATGAGACTTGTGATAATTACTAAAGCTGCAAAAACATAACTTCCTATATCCTTCAAGTACAGCAATTTGGATAGATAACCTTCATCTAAATTGTCAGGCATAGTCCCTTAGACTTATGCAACCTTTTATAGCAGTTAGGATATATTTGAAGCAAGTAGTTTTCTTTTGGTTCAAATAAAGGATTAGTTGTGTATTCTGCAACTCAAATAAATTACCATTAGTTTAAAAGGAAAGGGAATCCACGGATAGCCTTATAACTATATTTAAAGTTTAAAAGTGTGGATCAATATTAAGGAATCAACCGAGAGCCTTATAACTATATTTAAAGTTTAAAAGTGTGGATCAATATTATTTGTTAATGAAAAATGAATAGAAAGAATTTAAATGGCGGCATATTGCAACAATATTGAGAAGAAATATAGAAACAAGAAACTGGAAATTTGCTTTAAAAATAACTCATGATTTCGGTAAGATCTTTGTTTTTGAAAATTGCAAACTCATCAATTAGGAAGTCATTGATTCTATGATGAATAACTTTTACGACTTTGAGACCTCGTAAAACCACTAAAGTTTTCTTATTTACAACTAGTTTTGTTGCATATATCAGAATTTTTATTTTTTAATCTTACCATTTATAACTGTAAAGAAAAAAAGTTGCGCTGAAAAACATACAAGATTTCAAACTATAATGAAATCAACTTTATTTTAACATGACTTTTGACACTCAATTTTATCTTTCCTACATCTTTGCAACCTTATTGATTAGATTAGATTGCGGCAAAGTCTCAATTTCATTTTTCAGCTTTTTCATTTAAAAAAATTAGCCTACTTTGTGAAAGGTGTCAGGTTCTGGAATTTCATTAATCTAGCTGGACCTTGGCGTAAACCTAAAAATGAACAATGTATAGAATTTAAGAAAATCATTCTTGACCCGAAAGTTTCTAAATATTTTAATTATGTTTCGCTTAAAAGGACTTTCTGCATGCAAATATTGTAACTCCCGATTCACCACATGCACCCTCGTAACATTTAACCATGATTAATAATATGGAAGATATTGTCGTTTTCATAGGGGTTTTAAAGTATTCAATTCTGGTAAACCTGGCAGTGTTTTCCTGCAAGTTAAAATGCATAAATCACTTTTGTAGAGGAACCACAATTGAAAATAGTCAGTTCTTAAAATTATAAACATTGATGTCTAATTCACAATTGTTCAGATAAAGCTTTTGAGGGAACCGATTATTGTGAATCGGGCATTGCTATCCTTGCATGATGGGTCACTTGAAATAAGTCTTACAGTGAGCTAATAATAAATATCCAAATAATTCAGCCTTATTAGCCAAATACAGGGACATGGGTGTCCTATTTAACATGACAGTTGGTGAATCCTCTTCAATATTATACTGTATAGATATTACTAACTTTTTGCAGATTAATTCGTTAACCATGTAACCAGCATGAGCTCAATAGCTCGGAATAAGGATAGGTCCATTGATGTAACCCCTTTAGGGATGTTACCGTTTTCATTTTTTTGAAAAACGATCGTTTCGTTAAGAAAACGACGACGAAAAATCGAAAACTAAACGATCGTTTTCAAAACAGTCGTTTTTTAAAAAATCGTCGTTTCGTTAACGATCGTTAACGACGACCCTTCATTAAAGATCATTAACTAAGAGAGGAAACCGACCTGAAGGGCATCTGTACTTATCTTTGAGTAGTTTTTAAGAAAATATTAAGAAGTTTAAGCTCCCCCACAACTTTTAACTTCAGGTAAGACGATATTCAAAAAAGTTGCATGTAATTTTTTTTTTCAAAAACGATAGTTTTTTCCAAAAACGACCGTTTAAATAAAGTTACTCGTTTTGTTAATGATCGTTAACGACAACCCTTTGTTAACGATCGTTAAACGACGACCCTTCGCTAACAATCGTTAACACAATTGTCAATAATTTATTTTTGAAAAAACGATCGTTTTTTCAAAAGCAATCCTTTTTTAAAAACAATCCTATAAAAAACGGTCGCAAATTGTTTTTAAAAAACGATCGTTTTAAAACGATCGTTATTTGTTTTCTAAAAGTTCAGAACGAGTGGGTTGTTTATAAAAATGATCGTTTTTTCCCAAAAACAAAACAATCGTTTTTGAAAACGATTGAAAAACGAAACCAAAAACGATCGTTCGACGATAGTTTTCAAAAACGATTAACAACCCTACTTCAGTTCTAATGCTAAGCTCAGATTGGATAGTTCTATTGATGCAAACTCTTCAGACCTCATATGAAACTGAAGCTAAACTCACATTGCAAGTGGTCCGTCCTACAAGCAGGGCAGTTTATTAGCTCTTTTTATAGAGATATAGGTCGGACAGACAGATGATGAGTTGCTTCATGTATAACGTGTAGAAATATTTGTCTGTTAGAAAATGTCGGCTCCTCAGAAAACATGCTTTGAACGTGTGGAAAACCGAAGCCACCTTTGCCCCAGAATTCTATTTTAAATTCAAGCCAATAGGCATGAACCACGGCTTGGAAGGAGAAAATAGGATATGCCTGGGCTAAACCCGAAATGGAGTTAGTTGTCACGAAGAATCAGAAGGGAAAAGATTAACTCGTCGTATGAGGCGAATGAAAGGCGGAGAGTGCACCAGAGAGCTCTAGCTTTCCACGATTCATTAGTCTCATTTTATTTGTTCTTTTTTACTTGTAAATGCATTTTTTACTATACTCTGTAGACCTGCTCACATCAGTTTCAGGCTTTAAATTTCCTTTTTTTCCACAGCTTTTAAATGTAATGTACTATAATGTGCCATACAATATTTTTTTTTCATATTCTCTTTAGTATTAAACAACTTAACAATTTATGGAAGAAGACATTTTAAACTGACATGTTTCATGGACACCCTGTATATTCATGGATACCACTGTATATTCATGGACACCCTGTATATTCATGGATACCACTGTATAGCTACAGTGGATCCCAAGTATATGAATACATAGCTAGAGTTTTTATAATGTCGATTTATCAACATATTTCAGATCAAATGCCGCGTAAAAACGAGTTTAATATATCAACTGCTGTCCTTCTTATTTCAGGCCTATTAATTTACCTTGAATAAAAAAAAACATTTTCTTAAGAATTATCCAAAAACTTATGACGTTCTTCCATGATATTTGAATATGTTTTCAGGAATCGTATTCAACCCTTTGAAGCAGCTTCCTTGTAGTGCAGACCAATGGTGAAGCAATACAGCTGTCATAAATTCTTAAATAAATTTCAAGACGACATTTAATGCACTCTTGCTTTGTATTCATATCTGTGAGATTGGCTGTAGTCTACCTGTATTCCCATTGTCGTCTTCACATGTTATTGACAACTCGTAGCTTTGATTTCCAAATTCTCTGCCTATAAAAAATCTTTTAATAAAAATAAATAATTTTTTCCTAGTCAAATGATTTTCCCCTTATTAAAAAAATTCGGTTAACGTACAGTGATAACCAGAAAACTGTAGGATAAGATGACGACATTGAAGTTGTTAAATCCCTTATTAAATAAAATGGGTCTGTTTACTCTACAAAATTCGTGTGCCTCATGTTCATTGGACTATTAACAGTCATAAATCGGGTCTAAAAGTCACTTCCTATTCCAGAGGTTTCTGGGTATCACTGTATATTTATTTTCAAAATTTAATTGTTAATTATTAATTGAAATTTTAAAAAACTTTTTGATTATACACTGTAAAAAAGTTATTTTTTTTTATTTTTTAAAAATGGACTGTTTTTACAGTGCTTGTTGATATAATTGAAATAATAATTAACAGCAACACATTAATGAACTAGCTTGTGTATACAGTGGGACTAAACTTGTGGAAACTGAAGATGAGATTTAAGCAATGTATCTTGCATAATTGATATACTTTATGTTCATTGATCTTTTCCAAAAAAATACTTGAATCTCACAGTCGTCTTTCCATACCACAGTTGCATGGAGACCGCATGTTAAAAGGTTGTATACTGTATAGTAAGGTTAGATACTACAAATGGGCTCCAATGTACAATAATGGACGTGGGAAATCCTTCTACCCCCCCTCACTAGCAACGTTGTCACTTCAGCTTCTGCCAATAATTAGTTACGTCATATGTCCACTGCTGTGAAGACGACATTTCTAGTAAATTGGATCGAGCGTATCCAGAGTATCTAA